GTGTTCGGCGAGCCCGACGAGCAGAAGTGCTCCACGCCCGTCTACCCGTGGATGCAGCGGATGAACTCGTGCAACAGTGAGTGAGGCGCCGCCGCGGCCGGGATCCCTGCGGGCACCCACCCCGGGAGACAGAACTAGTGGGCTCCCCGCCCCCCTTCTCTCACTGGGTGCCGGCTGGGCATCTCAGTTAGGATCGAAGGGGAGACCCCTGCGCTGCCCTCTCACCCTCAGGAGTTAGAAAGTTTGCCAAGTCCCAGCCGCACTCGGAGCCAGGGAAGCGAGTGGGGCCCGCCGAGCCAGGGGGGCCAGGCCAACCCGGGGTTGCGGGTCAGGGGTCGCAGCCACGGGCTTGGCTTTCCCCGGGGCCCCAAGTCCTGGTCGGCCCCCCACCCCAAGACTGTGCCACTAAAACCCGAGTGCGTCACGGGAAGGGGGCGGTGTGACGCTAGCAGGGGAGAGCGGAGTCTGTCCCGCACTGTTTCCCTGGGGGTGGGGGGCTGGCGAAGGATGAGGCACCAGGAAAGGGGCGGTCGTCAGAGGAAGGAGGAGAAGAAGGGGAAGGAAAGAGTGGGAGCAGACGGAGGGGGTGAGTGGGAGAGGCAGGCGCCGGGGTCTCAGGGTGGATTATTTGTGGGCCTTAAGTCCCAAATTGATGTCCATTAGCGGGACAAGAGAGTGAGGAGCCGTTAATGCCCACTGTGGATCGATCCACGTCATTGCGGATTAAGGGCTGGAATCTATCACCGGGGGCGGGGGTGGGGGCTAGATGCCTGCAAAGAAAAGATGCAGCTGGGAACAGACACACCTGGGCGCCGCTCCTGCAGCCCCTCCCCCGCGGCTCAGGTGGGAGTTTTGCTCAGCTCCTCCCCTCCCCCCACGGAAAGGCTAGGGAGGCGCAGGCCCCGGAGGCCCGGAGGGCATCTGGAGGGGGCGCTGCAGGGACCCGGGGAGGGAAGGGCGTCCCGGGACGGGCTGGAGCCCCTGTGTGAGGGTCGAGTGGGAAAGGGAGCCCTGGCCCTGGTGACCCCAGGCCTCAGCATCTCCTCTCTACGTAACAGGTTCCTCCTTTGGGCCCAGCGGCCGGCGCGGCCGCCAGACCTACACGCGCTACCAGACCCTGGAGCTGGAGAAAGAGTTTCACTACAACCGCTACCTGACGCGGCGGCGGCGCATCGAGATCGCGCACGCCCTGTGCCTGACCGAGCGGCAGATCAAGATCTGGTTCCAGAACCGGCGCATGAAGTGGAAAAAGGAGAGCAAACTGCTCAGCGCGTCTCAGCTCAGTGCGGAGGAGGAGGAGGAGAAGCCAGCGGAGTGAAGGCGCTGGAAAGGCCGGGGCGCGAAGGGAGAGGCCTGTGGGCAGCCGAGGGCCTTGGAGCTCTGGAGAAGGCTCTGCGGGCGGGGGGCGCCTG